TAACCAACGCTGATTGGGCTTTTTGAATTAGGGTCAAACATTTCTTGTATCAATGTTGGCAATTTTTTATTCTTTATACATATATTTTCTTGTTTATTGTAAAGTTGTGTTTGTACATTGAGAGCGGAGTGGAAACCGGAGACAAATTCCATGTATGCGTAAGCATACATGGCCAATAAAGCTGATTCTGATTCTGAATAGGCTAAAGGATATCAGGACCGCTCGTCTAACAGCAACGCCAGCCTTTCCCGGGTCCAGACCTTTGAGTCTGCCCACTCCACTGAGTTCGAGTTGACAATTCATTTTAATAATAACAGGCAAATGCCAGTCCTCAAATGCCAACCGTTGTCAGGGGAAGTCAGCAACCAGAGGCTTGAAGTTGAGTCCACCATTATTTCCAAAAGTCGGTTCATTCTCTTTTGTAAAATGTGCACGGCAGCTGCAGCACCATCCTAGTTGTATGCTACTGCAGTGAAGGATTTAAATTTCAGTCCAACTTAAAGCAAATGATTGCACATTTCCTGTGTTTCATTGCAAATTGAATATCTAGTTTTGGACTGTTGGTCTGACTAAAGATTCAAAGCCATACGATAACCTAACTGAAATAATATCCAATAATGGCAATCATTTCTTAATGGCGACCATGTGCAGTACAAACATGACCTTCCAGGAAGTCAAGGACATAGAACAGAAGTACACAGAGTCTGGATGATAATGAACAAGCATGCGTTTCTAGTTCCCGTTCTCTCTGTTTATCTATGAAATTCAGAATTCCTCTTTCCTTCAGCGACATCGGCCACTTAGATAGGCTTTGTGTTCCTTCGCTCAATAGCTGTGAGAGACAGCATCGGAGTGAAGCGAAGCCGGTAATCACCTTTACTAATTATGTGAAAGTACAAAAGACAGCGGCTCACTTTGTTCAGGTCACATCTGTGGTAGTTTATTCAGCTACATGTACAAAACACACTGGAAGGCCTGAAAGTGGCTCGGAATCAATTGTTTGGATTCTAAACCGATGAGCACATGATCACACACACACACACACTAATTGACTTTCAAGCTAGGGTCAATTTATATGTTGGAGCCTATTGGCTAAGTGCTGATAGAGATAAACGGCTCGGTGATTGGGAGCCGATTGCAGCTGCAGCCAAATATAAAACAGCAGAAATTCCCCAAAAACACTCAGTTTTAATGAAACATAACAACCTGCACATGTGCAGCGCTGTCTCCAGTGGTTTCTTGTATTTAGAGCGTAAAGTTACACTCAGCAAACATTACCTGTTCTCTCTTAACTGTATTTACCCTAGAAAGAGTTCTGTGACACACATACTCTTACCAGCGGCTCAGTTACAGCTTAGCAGGTCTGCTCGAGCAGCTGGGGCTTTAGTGCCTTGCTCAAGGGCTCAATCAAGAGGGTTGACGAGTACGAATGTTTCATTTTGTCAATTTCTTTATTTTTTTAAGGTCACAGCTTGACTTAAACATTGCTTTCCTCAAACATACTTTAACAAATAAATACATAGATATACATTTTCTGAATTATTATTCATTATTAGAAGCAAGCGAGGGTGAAATACTTTCAAACAGATGCCACGTTTGTTGTTATCTCCCTCAGCTGTGCAGTCTATACGCATGACATAGTTTGCACGCGTGTAATCAGACGTGAACATAGAGTTGAAGTGAATAGATCGGCCTCATTGTCACCGATAACGTGATCCGGCTATTTGTCCGTATCGGATGGGTGCATCCCAAGCCAAACGTATGCAGAGAGCCAACAATTAAGGTGTTGGATCAAGTCAAGGTTTTCCACACCAAACCTATATTATGCTGCAACATTAATTGGAGCTAAGGGTTTCCTCTGTCTCTATAGAGGAACATGTTATCCTGCTTCATTAAAAACATTATGAGAAGAGTTCCTCCGTCATTCAGGAAGCCGTTGCTGAAACATTATTAAATGATGTCAAACTGTTTGCTGTTCCGGGCTCAGATTTGAACAGCTAATGAATGGGGATTACAGTGTTGGTGGTCTGGTTTATGGAGGTAAATTAAACGCTGATAAATGAATAATAGATTAGGTGTACAGACTCAAAGGCTAAAAGGACACTAAGTATCTCCTCCTCGCCGGTACAGGGTCTGATTGTGCACAGAGCTTAGAGCAGATAAGAAGCTATGTGGACCGAACGATTATGAGCTATGATCACCTAATTGCTTTGATAGCTGTTGAGTTATTAAAAGGATAATTTGCTTCAGTTGTGTATAAACGTGGTGCCTCCATGTTGGTTTGCTAGTACGACCAAACACAGGAAATATCATTGATCCACTTGCGTCAATATGCTCGGCTCCACTCTTCCTGAATAGGACGTCCGTCTTTAGATCAATCATTGAGTTGGTTTTAAACGTGTGTCTGATGAACTATTTCCTCCTGTAGCTGAGCCAAAGTCTTGTGTTCAATCTCTTGTCCAGATTTTGATTGTAAAATGTATAATCCTGTCAAGTTTAAGTTTGTTTTTAATGTATTTATCAAGGATCTTCTGCTTGTATTGGTGTTTGTATTTAATTTATTGTCTGGTGAGAAACAATTTGTAAGTTGCTTTTTCGATGAGCTAATCGGTGACAATGCTTGACGGATAATCAAACCGTCACTTGAACATAAATGTGTTGTTTTTGCAGCATTTGCTACAGCTGTTTTCCTGTTGTTACATATTTATCCACGTTTCTTTTCCCGTGGACCTCCGTCATGGCTGCAGCCGCTGCTGCTAGCAGATCTGTGACACAAATGCTGACGACCTCTGTGTAAAAAACACTTCACATGGATATTGTGCGTAGGAAGCAGGGGGCGAACGTTACCCCGCGAACATGTTATTCATGCTCATTTTCTGCCCCGCTCAGCTCTTCATCTGCCTGTGGATCTATTGACAAACACTGCTGATTATGTAACTATGCGCCGTGGAATGCCAACAGAACACACACACACACACACACACACACACACACACACACACACACACA